TCTATCTATCTATCTATCTATCTATCTATCTATCTATCTATCTATCTGTCTAACCATCAAAGCATGACCTCACTCTGAAGTCATAATGCAAAGAGGAAGTCTCCTCAATGAAAACAATAAGAATATATATATATGCAACTCAAGGACAACAAAAACAAAAGTACACCTTTTGAAAATAGCGTAAGACGTGACCGACAGCAGGAATAAGTCATCACACGCGAAGAAAGTGCGCGAAATAGCAGGTGGAAAGGTGTGAAGATTGACAGCCCTAACTTGCATGCACAAAGTCACTTGCGCGCACACGCGCGCTTGTGTACCGCCGGCGCGCGCACATACAGTAAACGTTGCAATAGTCTCATCAATAATGCATCAGCACTTCATGTTTATGCAATTCACAGGGCAAGCCCGAGCGACGGCAGCCGTGGACGCCAAAATCACACTCCGCACGCACGGTTCTACGAGCCTGTCAAAGGCACAGCCCAGACACCAGTCATCTCTCCCGCACGTGAAAGAAGGAGCTTTAGATTATAAAACAGTCCTCAGCACATACCTGTTCAAGCACTATTTTCTTTGATTCTGGTTTATGCAGGCTTAGAGGGCTTCATGATAACACCGCACTGTGGTGATATGCAAATTGACGGCTCTCGCTGAAACGCCAGGGCATTTATTATTCATAAATTACTCATGTTTATGCAAATGACGGCATACGGAAACAGTGGTGGGGGTTGAGTGGATCTGTCTAAACACACTGTTGTTCCGTCTCTGTTGCGCTCTTCCATTTGAAATGTTCCAGAGCATTTGGCAGTCATGTGCCAAATATATATATACACACACACCGTCATGAACAGCTGGTTTTTTAACTTTCATATGTGCAGTACTCAAGCATCTGTCTCATCTGGCAGTTGTGTAACAAGGATGCAGGGTATGGATAAAACATGGTTACACGTATATTTTGGCTTCTTATTCTAAACCCATTTTACTTTTTATGGTTTTCACTTATAAAAGGCCTGGGTATGTGTTAGATATAATATATCACAAGTGAATGTCAAATACAGTACAATGTTTCAGAAAGTGGAGTAGAAAATGTAAAAAAAAAAACAAAGAGAGAGAGAGATGTTACCCACAACTTCTACAAAGTTCTACAAATTATAAATATATGTATTAAACGTATGTCACAAATTCATATGCGGGAATAACGACGTATATGAGAAAATATATATTATTTTAGTTTTATTCGGATTTTATGACGTTACATTTTTGCAAGCACATACAGGATAGGTATAGGTTACTGTTAGTTTGTATTAAACTATCGTACAGATAAATCATGAAAATGATTTCCCCAAATGTTTAGCGTTTTTATTTCTCGTCCAAACTGCCTACATAGCAAGTGGAAGATGTTCTGAATTACAGTGCGCGCTACATCTTTATTTACGGTATCTTTGTGCGTCATCAAAACCGGCCTGAGTTACGTCAAATAAAGACGACACGCCGGTTCTGTTGTGGTTGTTCACGCTAGTATTTACTTTCTAAAACATTTCGAAGTTGCACTTGGAAACTAAAACCAGTTACATTATCTACTTTAATTTCGTCCTGTACCTATTTTGATACAAAACATAAGTGGTTGAATGTTGGCGTGCGTCTGTCACACTGACTTTTCCGTTGGCTAACGCTCACTTTATACCCGTGTTTTAGTCTTAGCCTTCTGCACGACAGTATTGTCCCAAAAGACATCATGTTTCACAACAGCTCGCAAAGGAAACACTGGATCTTTAGAAATGAACATGAACTTGAGCAGATGAGATGCAGAGCTAACGAGAAATTTCGCAACAGAGCGCTGCAAAGCGGGAAGGTTGGTGGAGCCAAAATGTATTTCTATACCCAGAGCAACGCTAAGGTGTTTAATTTTCATTCCCGCCGTGTTTCAGCCTGGTGTGAGTGAGTCCGCTTTCTTGGAGCGTCATGAGGAAGACGTTATATTTCGACATTATGAGAGAAGACTGCTGGACTTCTGCAACGCTTTTAAACCAGCAATGCCCAAGTCCGTTGTGGTACGTAGGAGTCTTCTTTTGTGCAGACAATCATGATTTGACTTTTATGCTTGAGGGCACCTGACCCTTACGTATCTCGTTTTTTTTTACAGTGTGCAGCCATCATGTACTTCAGAAGATTTTATCTGAACAACTCCATTATGGAATACCACCCTAGGATCATCATGTGAGTGAGCTGGAGACAGTAGACCTGGAGTAGTCATTTAAGAGAAAAAAAGTCATAATCTGGCTTTCAAGATATACCCACATAGCAACCATACATGCATTGATAAACTGTGCACATAGTTGTCTTTTTTTCATTTATTTTAGTTATCTACTCCTACATGTATGTGTGTGTATCACAGTCTTATTAGTCATGTTGTCCCTTTTCCAACTATTTAACAATGTACTACCAAAATCAAAATTAGCCTTGAAAAATAAAAAGAATAATAGACTATTTACAGTTTTACAGGAAATGTATTTGAACGTTTAATGTCAAACTTCGAGTGATGGCATCTATGCATGGTCACAGATTGTTTGTTCAGCCCCTTTGAAACTCACCTTCCTTTTTCAGGCTGACGTGTGCATATCTTTCCTGCAAAGTGGATGAGTTCAATGTGTCCAGCACCCAGTTTGTGGGGAATCTTCTGCAGGAGACTCCGGCGGGGCAGGAGAAAGTTCTGGAGCAAATACTGGAGTATGAGCTGCTGCTAATCCAGCAGCTCAATTTCCACCTGGTGGTCCACAGTCCCTACAGACCCATGGAAGGCCTGCTCATAGACCTCAAGGTGGAGTTTCTTCAGGGGGAAAGGGCGTAATGCCACAGAACGGGCACTTAAAAAAAAAAAAGAATTGCTCTGTTCGCTGTTTACTTGCTTATTAGTCTTGTTTCTCCATCAGACGCGATATCCCACACTGGAGAATCCAGAATCACTGAGGAAGAGCACTGATGACTTCTTAACCCAGGCATCCCTGACAGATGCAGGACTTCTATTTTCCCCCTCCCAGATTGCTCTGACTGCTATTCTGAACAGTGCCTCTAGAGCTGGTCTCAGCATGGAGAGGTAAAGCATGTATTTGAATTATGGACATGTGACAGCATCTAGACAGAATATGCTCTAATCCCAACATTAGAAGCAGCATTTAGATTACTGCAGTATTACTACAGTTGGTGGTGAAACATAACCCCAAACACTACATTGACAGTAAACAAACTGATGACTTTTTATTTGGACAAGGTGCAAAATGCTGCTACTTGCCCTCAACTTTCTAATTTGTAAAAACAATTAAATGTCAAAACCAGTAATTGAAACAGGTTAAATATGAACATTTCTGATTCAGTGAAATGAATGTTTACAAATCATTAGAATCACATCTTTTAATGTGTTGGTTCCCTCTAGCTACCTGACTGAATGCATGGGACTGAAAGAAGACAAAGAGACTCTCTCGAAGATGTACGACTTGATGCGACGTGAGTGACCTGCACCTTCCTTTTGACACCACACGATGGAGATACTGAGTCATTTTGACTTACACTAGTCTCATGTTTCCAATTTTCTGTTTTTTTTTGTTCACGCAGGAATGAAAACTCTCCTAAAAAAGTATGAACTTCCTAAACTGGATGAGGTGAACGTGTACAAACAAAAGTTGGAGAGGATTCATGCTCAATATAACAGCTCAAGCAAGTAAGAAAATTAGAAAACCTAAAATGTACTTTGCTGTTATCTAACATGAAATCTGAGTTAAAAAGGTAGAATGTGAGATTTGTTTATCTTTAGTCAGTAGTCTTATGTTAACATGCAAAAAATGGGCAGCAGGTTTGTTTCAACGCTGTTATATATAAACTACTATTGTAGGAAATAGAAAATAATGCATTTCGAAAGTGAGTAATAAGTCCAGTGAATCCTTAGTCATAAGTTGTAACAGCTTTATTTCAGCCAGGTTGTTGTATCTAAGATGCAAAAGGTTCAAGGTTCAGTATCAGGTAGAAAAATAAAAAGGAACACATCATCAGCTGTATGAAATACAGAAAGGAAGTACAACTGCGTGCCGCACTGCTAACTACATCATCCATACCGCAGCAGGGCTGCTGCTGGTACAGCTGATGAGACTTTCAGGCTCAGTAGTTGTGAGTCAGCCGTTGCCAGTTGTCATAACACTTGGTGAGGTCCGTGGTATTTTTTAAGTGCAACTACAGTAAACAGTTTGTTAAAGTTCTGAGCTACGACAGGCACAGATTTAGACTCTGCAGCTACTTCTTTAGGAGGCCCACGAGGCCAGCCTTAATGACTCTGGATGTGACAGATTCGTGCGCGGCACGAATTCTCTGGTTTGGAGCTGTATGACGGTGGGACGGCAAAAAGAGACTGCAATGCATCAAAACTTTCATTAACATCCAAAGGCATAGAAGGAGTTCAGGTGGTAATTGTTAGAGCAGCATATACTGTATTTAGGTCCACACACTACAGCAGAATCCTTCCGGATTAACACATGCACAGGACAGGTTACCAGCTTATCCTACAAATTCTTAGACTAGGTCTCAGCGTGGTTCAGCTATGTCACAAACACAATCTCTTTACAAGCCTAAATATATTGTAAAAAGGAAGCGGCTTATAAAAAAAACCCAAAACATAATAAGTGGTTATGTGCCGCAAAAGGTGTGTACACAAAGTGGAAGTTTTCAATGGTTTGCAGGAAAAGCTCGTCGTAACGCCAGGTGGCACAGGTGAGAGGGCTGTGAGTAGAAAGGGAGTTAAGGCTTGTATCGTCTTGGAAAGAGGTGCTATGTTTAAATTCCCTGATGACAGCAGAAAATGCTACTTCAGTGCTTTGGATCGCTTCCCATCTAAGGTCGAGTCGGCCCCCCCCCATTGACATTGTCCAATGAGAGGAAGCCCCTTTAGACCGGCTCCATGTTAATCACCAGACACACAACCCCTCTCTGAGGAGGGAGAGCCGGGATTAACGGGATAGATGAAGTTCAGACTTTTCTGCAGCACAGTCGGAGTGTGTCTCGGTCCTCAGTCAGAGCTCAGCACGCAGTAGGTGCACCAAGGAATTTGGAAAGGACTTTGGAAGGACAGTATTTGGAAACACAGCAAGTGGTTTTCCATGAAGAATAGTCATATTGCATCTGTGCCCCCAGTCATCTAGGCCACATGCGCAGTACAAACTCACTTTAGTCTTCAGCTGTGTTCCTCATGGAACAAAGTCTCACTTTGGCTGGCTGTGGGCTCTGACTACCACACTCTCAGGTGGGAATCCGTAAAACTCACATTACCTGGATGGCAGCAGCCAGTGACATGATGGTGCACTCAGTCCTGTAAAATAAAGTGGACAGGTTTGTGAAAGATAAATGCTCACAGATCACTCAGTTTAGCTCTGCATTAAGATGCTTCTTACTGCAGGCGTTTAACTCCGTGTCTAGTTTGAACTAGTCTACATGAACATGAAGAGACAAAGGAAACTACTTCCACTACTACTACTGGTGAACATGGACGTGCAGTGGACACTAAATGGGTGTTGATGATGGACTCCAAGGGTTCAGTTGCAAAAACACCACCAAGACCAAGAACAGACATCTGCTCACACTAACATTTTCTTTGTGCCGCAGCAAACGAAAGAGGGGATATGAAGAGGATGGACATGTAGCAAAAGAGCCACGTGTGGTCGAGGAGGTACGTCCATTTGCTCATTTCTGATCAACACCAGTGTTCTGGCAAACTTTGCTCCCTGATTACTTTTTTTCCCCATTTCATTTTAGGAATGGACTGATGAAGACCTCTTATGAGATTTGTTCGGCTGCAGCATAAAATCTGGATTCAGTATGTAGAGAAAAAAAAAAGGCTGCTGTTGAAGAAATTTCTACTGCTGAGAGTTTGGGAGCAACAGCATTTTTTGTTCCACACACAGAATAAAGATATTTTTCTAGAAGTTATGGTTAAATATTTTCCTTAAAAGAGCCATACATCTTTCCACCTTTGATGGGAAACACTTTTATAAAGAAAACTCCATAATCTACTTTATAAAACACAGTTTAATAAGTGCATGCATGTCTGGTACAGTCTGTACTATTTCCAAAAATTTACTGCTGTAAACACTTTATTTACTTGGTTTCTGTGATTATGTGTCCTGTCTGGCATTGGGACGTTTCAGAAAGCTTCAACCAAATAATCGACACATAGCTGTTACACTTATGGGGGAAAAAAAGAAAAGAAATTCAGCTCATCTCACTTATATACTCATGATTCCAGCAAGAGAATTTATTAATATAAAATAACCATATTTTTTGAAAGACTTTTTTCCAATCTAGAAAACAGAAAGAGAACAGACAGAAATGTTTTCAACACTGCAGATATTGTCACAACCTTAAAATGAATCAGTCACTAATTACAGTATAAAAAGCATTATAGCTCAGAATCCAGTTGCCGTTACAGTTGACTGAGGGAACTAGCTTCTTCATGTCAGTTTCCTCATTAACCAGGGGGGGGGTGGGTTTGTACACTTTGGCAACCTGCGCTTTCAAAGCAAAGAAACATGGTTTGACATCTTTATATTTGGCCCTCTTGCTGAAGGGAATATGTTCCCATGTCAGAGCAGCCGAGTTCATGAGGGGAAAATATTTTTGTGCCTACAGCTCTCAGTCACTGATGGTTTGGTTTTTCTGGTTTTGTTTTTAAGCACTGCTTGTTGTACTTGGCTGCTGTTGTTGCATAGCTCTCTTGTGGCGAACAAGACAAGATGATGGGTAGGGATGGGTAGGACTATCAGACAAGATGAAGAGTGGTAGATGGGTTGCCATGGTGATGAGAGTAGAGCATGCTATGTCTCTCCTCTGGGCTGCACTCCGGGGGAGGTGAGTCGGCGCAGGGATGGGGAGATGGCAGGAGGGGGAGTGCAGTACTACCTGTTGTTGGCGTAGTGAGCCTGCTTCTGCTGGAGGAGCTCTGTGATGGCCAGCAGCTTTTTCAGCACGTGCTGCGGAACACAAACGGGGGTTAACTGGGGCTCTTTGGGCGGGACAGAAACTCCTCACCGCTCACGCAGCTGGGATGGCCGGCCTCTGACCTGCTGCGTGCCTCGGTCACTACTCTGGGTGCGGAGCTCGTCCGAGTGCGTGGCGCAGATCTCGTGCAGCGCTGCCAGGTCCCGCGACAGGTCGGTCCTGAAGGACTCTGTGGCTTCTGGAAGGTCAGGGACATTCTGCAAACACAGGTGGCGATTTCTGTCAAACTCAGTCAACCTCTGTTTTAAAGCAGCACCAGGTTTGATCTCCACCAGTCCGAGGGTTCTTATCGTCTACACAAAAGTATGTCCAGAAGTCGTGACCAGCACCAGATACAGAATCTTCTCTTTAAATTAAAGAAGCATTAAAGGAAGTTTAGGATTCAGCAGCTAATCAGATAAATAACATTCATTAGGTTAATAAATTAGCCATCAGACAAATGTGACTCACCCCCAACTCATCAAGAAACATGATCATACGATGTTTGTTGTTTTTGATGAACGGGTTTACACCCTCCATGTAGGGTTCCTGTTTATTAAAAAAGAAATCAAATTTCAATGTTTAAGAAGGACCTCCTCCTGAGGGGGAAAAGCCTGGATACTAGAGTTTCAAGCAGAAAGAGTTGACACCTTAGCACCGAATTCAACCAGGTTGGCCAGATTCTGGACTGACTTGGCAACCAGTGTGAGGGTCCTCCCAGCTGTTGAAGATGGGGGGTCTGTTAAAAGAAACCACAGAGCAATAAGCACAATGTAAAAGGTGTTGCTTGGCAAACAGAGAACTGAATACATAATGAAAACAGATAATTACCAGAAATGATGTTGAACATTCTGGGGTTGAGGATAGCTGGACAGATCAGTCGTAGAAAGACAAAGCCACTAACAAGGAAATAAGGATGCTTACGTTAGACGGCAGGAGACATAGTATATGTATAGCTAATAAAACTAACTTGGCTCTCCACAATTTAAAGAGTTCATGTTCAACCTTCACCTAACAACTCTTGTGCGCATGGTGGTGTTGCTGGGCCACTTTCGTTTCACAGCCTTCTGCAGGCAGCCGTAGATGTACCTCAACGTTCTGACACAAAAAACAACAAACGTTACATCTGGGTCGTCTTGACCCGAGGGCAAGCATGTGCCATAAGTGGACAGCTTACGGGGGTAGGATCTCAGCAGCCATGAAGATCTTTTCTACCAACTCAGAGAGTATGTTGAGGAGATGAGCCAGGTTCAGGTTCACATCTTCATTCTTTTCCAGTTTCGAAGGATTTAACTAAAAACAACAGAGAGAGAGGGGGAAAGAAACAGACCAAAACACATCCGCTTTAGTCGTTTCGTTTGGATTAGAAACCGGAAGGCGGAATAATTTGTCTCATGAAGTTAAGTTTATCATAATCTATGAGCAGCTGTGCAGGTTTATACCTCACAAGACTGTTTGCTCTCCATGATTTTGAGGATGGTGTCTTTGAGCGCGTGATGGACGAAGGGTGTGGCCGTGGCCTTCATGTACTGCTCCATTAGGGTGCTGGCCAGCGTGGTGGCTCTGAACAATGTTGTGGCCTCATCTGCTCGGGTTGCACAAGCCGAGAAGGTCATCCAAATATATGGGCACAGTATCTGACATATTTCTCATCTTAAGTCACTCAGCAAACAAAACAGAACAATGAGCTCAAACTGACAAAACAATGCAGAAATAGATGTTACTAAGCAGCAGACTGCCAGTCATGGCATGCCCTCAAATGACATGATTCTTGATATTAGTCCAATTTCTGGAATGCTGGTCCACTTGCTCAAACAGCTTTCTGTTTATTGTGCTTGATAAAGCTCTGTAACAACTAGCTTTCTTACCCTCCATGAAAATCTCCTTGTCATTTAGCGTCCTCAGTAGTGGGGCCTCTGCCATCTCGTGTCTGAAGATTCGAAGTAGAAGGCTTGCCAGTAAGGTGCGGTCTTGGCCGCACACGTTAGCCAAAGCGTAGATGACGTGGTACTCTTTATGCAAGACAATCTGCATTAGACGTAGAACATTGGCGCAATTTGAAGTCACCAACAGTCAAGAGACATAGGTTTAATCAAAAGCGACTTGTTAGTGGGTCTGACCCCCTTGAATTCGATGTACTCCTCTTCAGGCATGATTTTTTCCATGGAGTAGCGGGCACGGACACGCAGGGAGCCTGGCTCGATGCCCTTCAGAGGAATGTGGGAGCTGAGAGGGAACCATTCATCAATCATCTGGCCTTTCTGCAGACGGTTGAGCAGGCATCGCATGAACACTAAAGGGGACAAAATGTGTTGAAGACAGAAAAATTGTTGAATCGAGTTTTGAAACAAAATAGCAATTTGCTCAGCATTGTCTGATGGATTTAATCCTTTAAGATTCACAAATGTACATACAGATGTCACTTTCTTTGCTCTTTTTCGTTTTGTTGCTGACACCGATTTCAAATCTGTTGATTTCACTGGACAAATCACTGAAACAACAGATAAACAGAACTTTGGAGTACACAGGAGGAGGAAAACACAGTCCAAAGAAGGAAAACTAGTATGATGGCTTACTCAAAGATGAACTCTTCGGTGAAAACGGGGTTCTGACCCTCTCTTGGGTGAGTCTTGGCAACCTGAACACTGTTCAGGTAGATGTTACAGTAGGGGCTGGTGAAATACTTCACTGGTAGCTTGTGGGCCTCTTCCACATACAGCACCAGGCTGCTCACCTGAGGAAAACGACACACGCCAGGTCAGAGGAAGGGCTTGTGGCTGGTAAAATCCTGCCTTTTCTTATCAAGTCATAAAACAAAATTAAAACATAACTGTAAATTCCAAACTTCACTTGAGCTAGAGTTAGGGAACAAAAGGTTGTAATTAACTACACAACCAAAAGAATGATTGAGTGTTACTATTTCCACAAATGTATTCCTAATAACATTTCCAATCTGTAACTTCCATGCTCAGCTCAAGTGTAAAATAATCAAAATGTCCTGTATTACAGCTGGTGCTGACTACATGCTGCTTTGCATTGTGTGGTCAACACTGTGCTCGATGAAAGCTGCACACAGGGGTTTTGGACTGATGTTCACACACATTTTTACTGAGTTGAAGCATTACCAAACTTCTGATTAAAGAAATCTCTGCTCCTGAGGGCTGAATACATTTTTCTTTAAACTGTAGGAGTTGACCCCTGCTGCCTCACTGAGTCTGAATGAGCCCAAACTGCCTGATGGCTTACATACCTGCCTGAGCCTCTTGTTGGAGGTGGGTACAGTGGTTTTTCTTAGGTTACTACAGAAATTTTGAAGGCATTTCATCCAGTCCTGCAAAGACAGAGCATGATCACAAGATCTGAAATATATTTATGATAGTTGTGCTTTCCTGTATTAAAATATACCCACTGATATTTGTTTGGTCTGTGTAATTTCTCAAAGAGAGCACAGAAATCACAATGACTATCAATCAATAGCAGATGTTTCAGCTGAAATAGCTCTGATTCTGGACCAGCTAAAATCAAACATGAAAATACCTTTTAAAAGCAGTACAGCGCTTGGCTTGTCACCTCATACTTCTAAAGCAGGCAAATGTGAACATATCTAAGAAAGTAAGTAAGTGAATTTTACCTTTTAGTCTACAACTTTTCTAAAAACAGCTGATTTGATGCATTTCAGCCACTGCACCATTCAGAATACCAGTCAAAGGTTCCTGCTCTGGTTTTGCTTTGATATGAATCAATTTGCTCTTAGCACAGAGAAGCAGCTTTAGGTTCATCTTCATTTTCAGAAAGGCAGAAAAACAAAACAAAAAATGATCACAGCTAGGAAACACTGCCCCCATGAGGTTGAATTGGAAAATGACAACACTCCCTCAAATGACTCATTAAAACAAAAAGCCTTATACACCTCAGGTAAGTACCCATCCTAAAGAATGGAGAAAGTCATTCACAGTGTTTCAAACATGTCTCTTTTAGTATCTCTGGCTTTAACATCTGCATGGGATTGATGTGCACATCTTAAACTGTTCTGGAAATGTGAAAGGGTCAGCCTCCCCTTACCTGTGCCTGCTCTTGGACCTCTCCCGCAAAGTAGAATATGTATTGTTCCTCATTAAAGTGCTGGACAACAATCTGGAAACAGTTTGGCCTTTTGAAGGAACAACAAAGACCGTTTTACATTTCTGTGTAGCATATCTTTAAAAAACGCAGTGCTCAGGAAACTGTCAAAATTGAGAATGGATCTGCCAACTTTGTGTGACCCACCTGCCAAATAGACTGTCGTGTACGCCATACACGGAGCACACACTTAGGTCGATCAGCCCTTTGGGTTTGGTAGCTCTCTTCTCACTTTCAAAATAGATGAGCTGTGCATCGTTGCCTTCCAGGATGAAATACAGATTCTTCCACCGTTTGCCTTTACCTGAAGTTGTGAGAGGAAGGTTACGGCTCGTACTTACCAGAACACACAACTTGACTAGAAATACTTAAATTTATGATGCAATAGAAGCCACTGACAAATCAATCAAGTGCTAGATAATGGAAGTGTTACCTTTGTTAAACAGGAGGTAGCCTTTCTTCACAATGTTTTTGTAGAAAGCATCTTTTGGTTTCCGTCTTATAGTGTTGTAAATTTCTCTCCCATCCACTGTATCACTAAGTACTTGTTCCTGGTGCTGCAGAAAATACAAATTACGCCATTAAATAACCAACCGGGCTGAATTAATATCTTCCATTCAAGAGGTCAGTTTACATTCAATTTGAGGTAACTTTATATAATCAATAAAAACATCGAATAAAACATATCTATTATCAAATCATTTGCAGACAGCTTCATCCGTAATAAATTAAATTCAGGACTTTACTCGCCCACAAGAGGATCATCAATGTCTGGTTTTGAGTGCATTTGTCTGTTCATTATTGTGCTAAATGTTGTCAAAGTGTGCCCACCTGCACTGCAACTGGTTCTTTCAGATTGTAGCCCTCAACGATCTGTTCTTTCTTGTAATGATCAATGATGTCGTCAACACTGAAAAAAGGGCCAACAAGATGTAACACATAAGTGGCTGCTGGTACAGTACGTAATGTGTGAAAACAGTCTGGAGAGGACACCGTATGTTTTAGACACCGTACCTGTTGTAGTACCTCCCTCCCATCATGTACTGATTGTTTGGTGTGGGGGAGATCTTAAACCTTTGGATGTTTTCATTGGTACGAAAAAAGAGAGAGTAGTCCCCTGGTGTGTTGTCTGATGGCCTGATTAGAAAACTGCACACCTGGCCGACTATGAAAAAAGAGAGAAGAACGAATCAAGTCAGGATTCTTAGGTTCTTATTTTTTTAAAGGTACAAAACGTGTGGCAGAAAGACATTAAAATGCCGTCTGTGATTAATCACTTCAGTATATTGAAAAACAGCAAAGGGAAGGTAGCTTACCTGTCATGAGAAGGTTGCAAGCCTCCTGTTTGGTGATCTTTCCATGATACCAACTGGAGAAGAAACCACAAGGGCAAAAAAGAAAGAATAGAAATAACGGAATAAAACTTAATCAACCAACAGGAAATTTTCAGTCATGTCCACAGCAGCAAAAACACCATTTAATTTACGGTACAGTGTTTGCATGCAAAGCTTTAATGGCAGTACACCTCCACTTAGAGGCCACTGCTCCACCTATCAAAGCATCACTGTGCTATTAGTTACACAGAAGTTTCAAAGTTTAATTAATTGTTTATGCCAGTTGTTGCTAAGGATAAATGTATTCGTCCACACAAGTAAACTGCCGTATCTTGATTTGAAATGTTCCTAATGGTAAAGGTCACTTCAGATCAATTCTGCTTACACTTTTCCCTCATGTGGATCCTCCTCCCGGCCCTGCAAAATATCAGAATGCAGAAAACTTGTCAAAACATGCACTGTCCTAAAAACTTTTGAGCTGACAGTCCTAAAAACTTTTGAGCCACTCAATTGTATATCATATCCCAATTATAGGTTCTAGGTTGCTGCCTTTTTATCATAATAGTTTTTTTTCTCTACTGGCCAATATCCATTGTCATTTTAGTAGTTTAACTTCTTTAGCATAGTTTAATTCAACATCCTCCGGTTGGGTTTTACTTACCACCTCCTCCACCAGATCCACCACAATGAGCCCTTGCTCCTCTGTGCGAACATTTGTCACCCACATCCAGCCATCTTCCAGTTCATTGTGAACAATAAACATGTCGCCTTTCAGGAAGCTGGAGACAGAAAGTTTCATTTTAAATCAGAAGAGCAAAGGAGCAACCTCTTTTGCTAACACTGAGCCTCTGAAAAAGGCATAATTACTTTTACTACAATGTAAAAGGACACTGAGATAGATTTAGTGTATTTAAATAGCACAGTATTGCCAGCAGGTGTCTCCTTTGACTCAACATTTGAGGTACAAATTGAGCATATTATGGATGACTACAGACAGATGTTTATTACATTTTGGAAATTTAGGATGTAGCCAGACTCATCAGTAACTGTGCCTACACTGTCTTCTTGACAGGGACAAGATTGTTTTTCAATATGAACTCAGATGATGTGCTTTCCAGGCCGCTGTTTCATCCCTTAAAATCCCAGCGAAAAGAGGCACCTATCTAAATGAAACGGTAGAATATTCTATTCTAAAGACTCATATATCTCATATTTCTCATCTGAATCTGACACAATGGGAATTATACTCATCAAAGTACTTTAATAAAGTATTGGGTTGGATATAAAGATGTTATTCTCTGAGTTTATGGAAGAAAGATGCATTTTGCACATAATTGCCTACCTGATTTCATCTGTATCTGGCACTTTGGTGTATGGAAGTATGGCCCTGACTCTCCTCCTGTCTTCTACAGGCTGCAGAAACAAACAATCATACTGATTAAAAAACATGTGTATGTTCTTATCCATGGCATTGCAGGACCATATTTATGTTAAATACCTAATAATTTGTCAAAACTAAATTATTTCATAACAACTTTCACTGGGAGATATCCCGGCAGGACAAAGCCATAATTAGCATTAGCGAAGGCTTAACCAAGAATGATGTCAATACTGCCTGAAGGAAAAGAACATGGGAATGTAACTCAGAACTGTGATATAAAACTATGAAAATTTTTATTTTCTTAAGAATCAAAAATTCCAAATTGTCAAATTATTTGCAAAACTCTGCTTTTTGGGAGGTTTTAAATCATTTTTAATGCTTCCGCACAGAGCCAACGTCAGGAAACAGAGTTCCTCAAGTTATCCAGCTGATTTCTCACGGTGTGGAATCAGCCTCACCTCAGGAGGGGCCACGGGCGACTGCAGTTTCTCTCCTTTTAGTAGACAAGACACATAGCTGTAGTAACCTATCAGGTCTGATAAAGAAGAGAACCGCCGGCCACCAATGTAATAGTCCCCACACATGGCAATTATCCTGGAAAATAGATAAATCAAAGAAAACACAGTGAGATAAGGATTTCTTTTCAAAAATATAAAATGGTAAATAATTACTTTTTTGCTAATTATTATGATGTAAGAATAAAATAATGTTTTGTCCTTTAAAAAAAAAGACTAAAAGAGGAAGAAGTGAGTTTAATCTTATACTAGAGTACCCCCTCTTTTAAAAACCCTTGAGAACCAATTTCTAAATATTTTTTCCCCAATTTTGAAAATACACATCCGACTGTGGCACAATCTCTAAATGGAACAAAACAATGGCATCAAATCAAAACAAAGCACTTAAAATATTGCTGCTATTTATTTGTTATAAGTCGTAGTAACATGACCTACAAAGGGTTAAAAGAGGTCACATCAATCTGACCAGAGAACTCAACAATGAACATGAAAAGAGACTGAAAAACCAAAAAACAACCATATTATAAACAGAAAATCCTACTTAAAAGTCTGTAAAATTGCTTTTGCAAGTCTTTTCAGCAACTGCTTTTCAAATTTGATTTATTTGTTTTCATACTTTTCCAATTTTGACTACACTTTTCTCCAGTCACGTTGGCCTATGACCGTAGGCTGTCTGTCTCAAATGTTACCCCCCCTCCTGCTGTTTGGGGCAACATATAAGGCTAGCTGTCACCACAGGTTCAAGCAACAACACTGATGGTAGGAGTTGGGGTGTTAGGCTTGAGGTTAACTGATAGGTTTACCACAAAGAGAAATCAGAACTTCAGATACTGAATAAAGTATCAGTTTAATCTTTTAGGTTGTCAAAACCTACAACACCAGCGTCTGTTGGCTGTGTGCTCAGTGACACATATTTCTGGTGGTTATACTACGAAGCATGACTAAATGTTTAGTCTGATCAATTTTCAGTGCCATATAGCTGGTTCAATTTCTGTTCCTTCCAACCAACAGTGTTGGTGGCTGATCTTTTTTTTTTTTTGCTGCAGGGGACTTAAATTTTCCAGACAGACCCGGGTTTCAATTTCACAGTCTTCTTAGTCTTACAAATGGAAACAAACACACATCTGAAGCAAAGGTAACACTGGTCTTCTGACACAACAGTTGATACTGTGCTTCCAATGGGGGAATAAGGGTGACGGTAATTCTATCATATCAAATGTTCTGTACGTTTTATGGGAGCTAAATGAGGTCAGGATATACTCCAAACGGCAGCTTATTCAGCTCATTTGCTATAGAACCTTTTGAATGTGTTTATATGCATTTCTAAATGGATTTAAACTTTTGCTTAAACTCTTGCTGCAGATGCAGTTTGGGCTTTCTACTAAGACTGGATGTTCTCTGCCATACCTGAAGTGGTTGACCACATTGGTCATGCTGAGGAAAGACAGGACAAAGGAACCGGGCCGGCGGTCACTCTCCCTGATGAGGTAGCTGCCAGGGGTCCGGGCCTGGCGCAGACGCTCCTCTGCAATGGTTCGGTCTAGTTTTCCATGGTACCACCTGGAAGAAAACACACAATGGAAATAAATAGCATGACAAAAATTATGAAAGACTTAATGGGGTCGGAGATCCTACTTGGTACACTAGCTGCATAAGAGATTTTAAATGGAAAATATATAATTCCCAAGCTACATTTAAAAATACCAAAGCATTTCCACGTTTTATTCTAGAGGAAAAATGTGAGTCAATTACCGGAACACAGGGCCAAACAAATTAGTCCCTTCATTTCTAATAAAATAACACTTTGGAGCATCTGTAGATTAAACTGTCCCATAATATTTGACAGGGATTCCCTGAGATGAATTAACACAATAACTGTTCATTTAAACCTTGAATGAATATGATTAATGACAGCAGTCTTTTCAACAGAGTTGAAAATACCCCATTTCATGGTCCAATCACTTTCTTCCGATCTTCTGCAAAATAAAGAGTGTATTCCCGTCTTTAAAGTGCTGCTCACTCAAACAACCTCCAGGAGGAAAATGTTACAAAATATTACCTTTTTTGTTTTTAAATGCAGAGAAAATTGGGGTGTACTTTACCAAGTACTATGGTTGTTGAGCCATTCACCACTAATGGCAAAATGAATCTAACTGGTTGCAGTTTGCAGCCCTGTTTAAAGCATCTGCACATTACAATATCAGTAAGTTTTCCAGGAAACATGTAAAAAAATAAATCGCTTCCAAACAAACAGAGCTTTCCTTTTTTGAGTTTTCCAGAGACTCAATTTAAGTCCATGCTTATTTGAATTAAAGAGTACACTTGACAATATTTGTCAAAATTTCAGAAAGTGAAGCATAACTTAAAAGGACCTTGCTGGCTGGTCTAAAAAATTAACAAGGTTTTCCAAATTTAGGCCACTTGTGTTTCTCAAAACAGGAGCAGTGAGTGGAAAACCTTCCAGTGGTGAGACGATAAAGGAGCCGCCGCAGCAGCTCTTTTCACTGGAGACATAAATGCCATCCATCTGGTTAAGGGGAGTACAGGTCTGTTCTTGTAAAAGAAAACGTGAAGAAATCTACTACAGTGCAGTGAGTACGCTGAGGAAAAACTCGCTGAACATTGAGGGTGACGAGTGCTCCTGAATGCACCATGGGGGCAATTTCTTTCATAGGAAGAACTGAAAAGGGGCAACAGAGGACAGTCAAAATACAGCGAGGAGCCCAAAGAATGGGGGGAATTGGACTGAATGTGAAAAATCAACAAATATAAATATAACTTAATTTCCAAAACATGCAGGCATCATCTTCCCATAAACAAAAAACAGCAGCATGAGGGTCTGTTATGGTTCCCACAACTTTAAGCCCCTCCTACAGTCCATTTCAGAGAGACGCAGTAAACTAAATCTGCTCTGTACAACGCCATTTAAAACCCCCAATCCAACTTTCCCTTATATTGATTAGGCAGCCTGGACTTTTTTTTAACAAGATTATTGTTCATTCTTTATGATCAAGACCTGACAATAATCACTCATGCTTATGAAAAAAAAAAAGGGGGGGGGGGGAGGCACTGCTATCCTGATAGACGGCTTGCACTGAACAGACTTGAAAGCTAAGCTCTCTTAACATCTCCAGCTTTGGAGCTACTATGGACTTAGTCTGCTTGCTTCCTGAGAGCTGTTTTGAGTTCCAAAACAAATACTTTCTATCACAACAAGAGGGGGGCAGCTACACAGAAGCCAGTTCATTACCTGCTTAGGCTGTTTGTTGATACAATTTAATTTATTTCCAAAAGTGATACTTTCTAAGACATACACTAACATTCTATAGGTTATGGAAATCTGTAATAAATATATTCAGAAATACCCTGTCTTGGCCATGTGGATTACATGCTCTACACAGAACAGCAAACAAAACATGAGTTCATGATAACATAGTAAACTAAGTAAGAAGGCCGATAAAATAAATTGGCCAAGTCAGTAAAAGAATACAGTTCTACTGTTAACTTCAGGAATTTTCTGTCACGTTGATACTTGTACTGCAGATAACACAGAAATACCTGGGTTCAACTCGACTACGGATGAGACACAGAGTTACTTTTGTGTAAACAGTTCCCGTTTAGCCACCTAACAGGTATATTGCAACATGAATGAAATAAATAAAAACCACTCTGTCATCTCTGCATTCGGCTCACAACAGGAGCACAAATGTAGTTTTAAGCACAGGATACCAGCTCATAGATATGTTCAACCTCCCAGAGGAGGACTGAGCCAATATAATACGTATCAGAAGGTAATCTCATAATGATGCAGTTGTCTATAAGTGGTATTGGAAGTAGAAAACTCACAGTTAATGATAATATTAGGGAGCGTTTGTGCCAAACAACAGTGCAGAGGTGTTATTACCACATTTGAGTACATTGAGTACTTTTACATGTCCCTCCATCTGCTGGGGAAAAAAATACCCACAGTACAGACTCAGTGCTGTGACTTCAGTGGGTTAGACATAAGCTCTCTGTCAGTCCGCCTGCCTGACCCTCATTAAATTCTTATTCCCTCATCCTCAATCTTGATGGGTGCATCTGTACTTATACCATTCTGTCATCCCTCATCAGAATCAAAAAGTAATGAAACGCTGCATTACTGTACATTAGCAATCTGCCTCTGAAGTAACAGTCTTTTGGAAGGAACTACTTGCTACACTAATTTTGGCATATACATTTAAAGCAATTTAATATGGACACAGACATTTTCTCCCAAATAGCCCCATGGTATGGCATTATGTTTTGTAGCTTCGTGTGGTATATGGACACACATTCCAAGATGCTCACTGATTATTCATAATAGATAAAACACTTTTTAGAAACTGTAGCATGTCCCTGGATAAAGCATTTCAAATTGTGGTTACATGCCGTCAGACTATAAATAGAAGCTGCCATCACACCTAAACTCTGCATGTAGCCAAATATGTAGGATGCTGGTCGGCCCAAACTTTGGTGCTGCTGCCACAATGGGGGAGCTGAGAACCTGAAAATGGTGAGTCTTTCAAAATATGTAATCTAACAAATAACAATTGCACTGGCAAAATGAGCAAGATAACTTTTTGTACAAATTTAAATAATTTGACCTCAATGTATCAGTTGTATCATGTATGTTTTTGGGTTCTGATACGTGTTACATTATTGTTCAGTGGATAAAGCGTCTGGTTTTCTAATTCAGAGTGGAAAACTGAATTGGCTGCAGTCTCTACACAGCCAAAGGATGATTATGAGATCAAATATGGACCCTGTTTTGTCAAAACATTGGCTTGAGTGTATTTAAAGTTCTAGTAACTCTGACCGAGAGGAGTCTTTAGCTTGGGGGGATCACATTCCAAACAAATTCAATGGTTACGATTTTAAATACATTCATAATAATTATAGAGAAATAAGTGTGCAAACATCAGTGAGCTCTTTAAACATTGAAATACAACAAACAACATCTTCTGTTATTTATATCTGATTTGCTTACTAGGCTACTTTTGCACAAAAATTCATTTGATAACCAAAGTCAGGCAAAAAAAAAATCAAATAAACTGTGGACCAAACCAGGCACCTCCCATTTGAAACTGGAAACTATAAACAGATTCTTATAATGAAGAGGAGTAGCATCCATCAGGCCAGAGGAAGCCATCGTAAGAGTTGCAGTGTGAAGAGATGCCCCACTTACGCCGTGTTTACCCTCTGCTGCATCTCCCTCCTGTGTCCCGGAGTCCCACAAGGTGTACCCACTCCACTGACACTGCTGCTAGCCCGGCAAAAAGTGCAAGCTCCAATGTGAAAAACAGAGAAAAGACAGATCTAAATCCAAACAAGGCATCACGATGCTCCCTAGCTTTACTCCTGACATCTCCTGCACCCAGGGTCAATGAGCGACACCCAAGAAAAAGAAAATCGGGGGCCCGGAAAAGTAAATGGACTTCTGTGCATTTGATTAATCAGATGAAAAATACTCAATCATGTCTGGATCCTGATTTTCTTCAGCGGTTGTTTGAAACAACAACCCTTTTTTGGTGGCTGTGACATGGTCCTCTGGTCTTTGCTCCCACTTTATCCTACTCTGCCTTTCGCTTCTCTTGCTCTCTCCTTTATCTCCCTCATTAAACCACGCAGTCTGAGCATCCTGCCTATTGGTTTTTCCAAGCACAGGGATGCAGGAGTAGGGGAGTGGCATCTCTCCACACAGACAACTGTAGAAATATACGTCGGGCTTCACACGAACATATAAAATGGAAACACGCCAGACAACGTTTTTAACTTGCATTGATTCAGTCCTTTACTCACAGTTAGCTTTAAGAGTGTTTAAGGATCAAGACATCCCCTGAAAAATATGTGAACTGGTTCCAATCTCACGCCAAGCATACAATTACAATAGAACTTCCAATCATAATTGGAATTGGACAAAGTGACACCACGTTTTAAAATCACGTGAAAGATGAGGGAGGAGCCATCTATACATCCTCAGCAAAACTATTATGGGGACAAAATTTCAATAGAAGATTTTTATTGATCTTAATATCAATTGGGATCATTTTACCATCTGTACTCATTTGTATGCCCCTATTTAAGCATAAAGTCATCCGCATGACCCTAACAACCTTACAGTTAATAAAAGCCATTTATCTTTAATGGACACAGGAATGTGAAGCAAGAGATGCTTTTTAAGATTGTAAACATATTAAATGCATCATGTCTAAAGCAGAAGACAATCACTTAACATGACAACGAAAGGCTGAACAATGTGGATCTGCTTATTTTACACCATTATGATGCGGGCAGAAACATAATACAGACATTTTAATCTGATTATTATAATTTTGTACACAAGGTCAGGTTTATCACAAACAATTGCAATCATACTGTGAATTGAGAATGACAATAAACCTATATTTTTTCCATTTAAAATTCAACTATTAAAAGTAATGGAAAAATACAACTAACTATTCATTAAAACCAATTATGACAAAGTAGATAGATTATAAGTAACAATGCAGAAACATGGCTATCAAAACAATTAGGAAAACTGTCACTGGCACAACTCCTATGTCAGTAAATTTGTTTAGAGTCCACAACCTAAGGCATTTAAAAAATCCCGACTTGTCAAACATCACCGACTGATTCTGAGGATCCTTTGAAGGCTACAATGAATGCCAAAAAGACCTTGAAAACAGGATGTAGAAGAAAAAAGGTGGTGGTGATGTGTGGCCATTAGTAGAGTATGACAGGACATTGTGTAATATGTTGGAAATGCATGGAAACCATGGACTAAATGCAAAACAGATCACAGACCAATAAAAGTTTAAAAAGTGTTTTTTCAATCACAAAGTAAAGTAGAATGAAAGCTTTGCTTTAATGATTGGGAGTATTTGTTGGGCAAAGTACAGTTTAGTAGCACCTGTATTAGTGTATACCACCTTTAAGTAAGTAAAGGTAAAGTAATAGTACATAATATAGCATAAATAAATTACAAAGGGATATTAACTATTTAAAAATACTTGCCGTCTTCATTAATAAAATATTTTTGTTATCACATTACTGTAACACTTTTGCTAGTTAGTGGGAAAAAACTCCAGAGGGGAATGACTGATTTAGACTGTGACAAGGCTCTTTTGCCAGCCTTTCAAACTGTCTCCACTACATTTCACAAAGGCAGTAATATTGTGTTGGTCCTAAACTGACTGCACAGTTACATCAGTGTTTCCACAGCCAGCTGGTAAATCTGATAAACTCATTCACACAACCACTGATCTTCAAACTGCTCTTTTTCCCCCCTTCCTCCTGCCACCACCTCCTCAGGGAAACCCTTTATGACTTAAAATCCCCTCTAATCTTCGTGGAAACTCAAAATCAACCACTCATTTCCCAATGTGCTATTTGTTTAAGCTCGGGCACAAGGCCACATGTCTCTAAAGGTAGCAGGAACAAACACAGTTGCACACAGCTGACTCTTGCTTATTTGTTATCATCAGTGTGAAAGTGTTATAAGAACAATGTAGCCATTGTTCCTTAAAAAACTCAATAGAAGCATTTAGCTTCAGTACAACAGTACTTTGACAACTATTAATAACTAGTGCTGACCAATTATTACATTTTGGTCATGATTAATTGCATTAATTTTTGCTATTAATCACATTATTATGTGCAAAATGTAATAAATGATACAGCAGTGCATATCAGATTTTAAAGTACTATATTATGGATAAAGACAAATATTTTATGTTAACAATAAGGTGCTTTTTACTGCAGTTTTATCTTCATATTCCTAAGGAATGTGAACAGAAACATAATCCAACCACATACTTTCAAATCAAATACAAACCCAAAGTTATTTACTGCTGCTATGGCAATAAAGCACATTTTGAATTTAAATAATATTCCAGACTGGAAGTACTACGATATCAGAATTAGGGGGTTGCAAAGCTTTTTAATCCAGCACACTATCAGAAAGAGTTTTGAGATGAAATGTCCCTTTAACAGTTCAGTACTTCTCTCCATTCTGTTGTCTGTAGGTGTTTTCTGATAAAAATGAGCAGTCTAAATATAAAGGCCTTTTATTGGTTGAGATGCGAGATGATGCACATCGAGTATCTGTATGTGTGTGTTTAATTCAGCCACAAAAAAAGCTCACGTATCCCTGCTTTTGTCTCAGTGCACTGCTGTAAAAAAACAGCAGAAAAACTGACGAGTTTGTTATTTGGTTCTTTAAATTATTTAAAAAAACTAAACTAAAGTTCCTCATGGTAATTTGCTATATCCAAATCATATCCAGGAGAACCTAGAAGAACCAATAATATCTTAATTTTCCTGTTACACATCCACATTATCTTCCGTGCTCCTCTTCTTCATAGAACTGTAGTGGAGCGTAGAGGGAAAGGGACAGTCTTACACAGAAGTGAACAGCAATTATGGTTTATTCTACGCTAAAAGGTTTGTTTTTAGCTAATAGGGTTTTAAAGAGGATTTACAACAGTCTAAAAGTCACTACATCTCATTTGTGACAGAATAACCCAACAGAGCACTCCCCAAAGATCATACTACACGTCTCTAGCAGAGGGTCTCCCACTGTGCTGCGCTTATGTGCACAGCAACTGTGGAAAAGGGCTCACATAGGCTGGCTACACATTCTCCGGCACACTTCCTTTGTTCAAGTGTGAAAATGGCAGAAGTTTTGTTTCCTCACGTTAAACACTACTCCTTAGCTGATTAGCAGCACCTCCCGTACAAAAGCAAGCCGTTCCTTTCACCATGTTTTAAGAAACTAGCAAGTTGCCTGGGCAAGTGTGAGCTTTACAAGCAGTGCCTGATGCCAACTCTGCGGTCTGCTACATGCAAACACCACAGGGCAAACTTTTCAATCACCTGCAGAGGCCCTTAATGATGAAAAAATGCATTCACGTTGTGTCAAGTAAATGCTGTTTACAGTTGCCACGTCACCATCGATATTCTGTACTTAAGCATAGCACCAGAGCTCAAGAAATCCAAATATTTAGTTAGCTTTTTTTCCCCCATAAATGAAAAAAAGTAGTTTTTTCAACAAAGAAGTGTTTCACACATTCATTTCTCAGACATTCATTCATTTCTCAAACACAACCACAGGAACACCAGCGGTAGTAAACATTTTTAGCCAGCTGGGGGGGGGGCAGTGTGCATAACTAATTAGTTATTGTTAAGACCCAACCAAGTCTGATGCCATTTTAATTAACTCATTGTTGAGAAGTCTTTACATTTTGCACTGCTAGGCTACAGATTAAAATGTCTAGGCAGCCAATGGTATACAGTGTCTGTATTAATATGGTTGTGTCTTGAAACAAAAATGTAAAGTCTGTAACAGCTGTGTCAGAAGGCGCATTCCTCCATACACCTCATACTGCCCTCTAACTTGGTCTGCTGTTCAGTCTTGAAGTCCATCTGTCGCCACCACAAGCAGTGTGCCACGAGACCACAAAGAAGATGCTTGTGTTGTTTTTAGGCCGGCTCATGTCGGGTTAAGTACAGCAGGTAGGAATGGACTAGCGCGACCAAGTATAGTCGTCTTCATTGTGCCAAATATACGAGTTAAATGTTCCTAAGCATTGGGGTTATTCATTACCAACAACAGACCAGATTAGTGAAATGTATGCCTTCTCCTCCCACTGTAATCTGACGGGGAGATATAGGGTGTCTCCTAAAATAAAAACCGATTCCACACCCCAAGCTCAGTCACTTCCATATCTCACAGTGTAAGGGCAAGAAATGACAAAGCTCAGCAGTTCTCTAATGAGACTGTAACAAATAGGAGGGATGTATATAGGTTATTACAACACTAGCACATCCATGGGTTTGGGCATGTGCTGGTATGTGAAGGGGTTTTACACAGGTTGTCGCTAAATAATGACAACAAAAAAGACACAAAATAGACCATCTTAAAACCCATTTCCATTTTCCGTCCGAGATGATAAACGACGTCACTAAAAATAAGTTGATTCTCTTTGCAGTCACATACTGAAAGTCTTCATGAAGCGGTACTGTAGCACTAAACTAACTGAAAGAACACCCTTGCTCCAGGAAGGAAAGAAAATACATTTTATGGCTACTTCTCAAGTATTGTAGAGCACTCGAGTATTGTAGAGTATTATATAGTATTTGCGCCTTATTTGTGAAAAGACAAGCTCCTTTTCAGGAATTGCTTCATCCCATGAAATATTTGAGGCGTTATTTCATATTTAGGAAGGTGTCATGCAAGTTTTTTTGCAGGCTCAGACTTATAACAGCTGTTTTTTTTTCATTCTTTGCCCAGACAGATGCCTATTTGAATTGTTCCCACTTTAAAGTACTTCTATGCTGCAGCTTTAAGTCACAACATTGCTGACTAAGACTAAGAATTAGACATTTTTGAGCACTATGGTTAACTATTTCAACAGTGGTCTACTAATCAAATCTATGTTGAGGTAGCTTCACTTTACTTAATTACATGTATATGCTGCATGTTCTGCACCACACACACACTTCGAATTCCTAAAATACTTGGTCAATGAACATGATTCTGATACTGATCATATTTAGCATTTAAAACTTGTTACATAGATTGTGCTAGCATTCATTTTTACAGATACATCCGAAGTGTTTGGCACACCAATTACAATTACAATATTCAAAATGTATATAATGATCAATTATTTATAGATATTATGGAACTATGGCTTCTCTAAACACCAACAGAGGGTTAAGCAATGTGTGTGTGCTCAGAACAAAGAAGCCAATTCTGAGTTACTAATTAATCTACTGTGAACACAACCATACCCTAATTTTATGACAAAAGTAAGGAGGAGTTCCACAAAACCTATATGGTATCAGAAGCATTGTATTTCTTAGAGTTGAGCTGTAACTGTCATTCTTCTGGGGCTTTACTTACTGGTTTGAGGGAGGTGCAGAGAGAGGAAACACCACCTCTTCTTCCTCGTATTCCTGCCCATCCTGCATGTCGCTTTCATCCATGGTGCCGCCGAGCCCCCCACAGCCTGCGAGGGAAGGAGGTGGTGGTGGCAGTGGGGGGAAGGCAGGCGGACAATCAGGGCCTGTTGATGATGTGGGTGAAATCCGACTAGTTGGCCCATCTGAAGTGGGAGAATAGCATATTCCGCCCACAGTCCCTGAGTTTGTTCCTTGTAAAACTGAATGTCCACCTCCTGTTCCGCCACTCCCTGTGGCGGACAGCTCTGGTCCCGCCATGTCCACACCAGCCAGGGGATAGATCACACTCATGTCGGGGAGCGAGTCCGGAGAAGTGTTTGAAAGCTGGCGGAGGGTTGTCGGCGGTGGCCCTTGTCCCAAATCAGTGACTCGCACTCTGCCCGGGTTCGGATAGTAGGGAAAAGGGGCCGTCTCCGGGCCTCCTCCGCCAGCCACCCCTGTCCCTGCCGTGACCGAGCCCGTATCCTCACTGCTGACCTCTGTAGCCATCATGTTCAAAAATTAAGTAGAGGGGGAAATGTCCAGAAGGGAACCTGCCCTTCCCCTCTATTCTCAGAATAATCCTTCAGTGTTTGGGCTTCGGGGAAACAACACAAAAAGTTTCTCAAAAACGCTGTTAGCTTGGCAACTAGGGGTTAGCCAACAGCTAACTTAGCTCAGTTGGCTGCAGCGGACGCTAGCTCTACCACGCATTCAGCCGATGCAAGACAGTGAAGCTAACACTAGCGGGATGGCTAGCAGCTCCGAGACACTTGATGAGTTCTTGCTTGCTATGTCTTCATTGTTTCCTGAGTTTAAAGTTCACACAGAAGCACCACTTGGAAATTAGCATACACAATAGTTCTTGAAGAATATGTATTCACCGGTAGTTTCTGTTCTGGTTATTCCGACCTCACCCTCCGCAGCAGCCAGACCACTTGTCGGGGATTGTTTTATTGTCACTGTTGTGTGTAATCCCCGTCTCTTTTACCAGTGTTGTTGTTTTTCTTTCTTCTGAGTTCGCAGCCTTCTCGAGTTCAGTCCATAAACGACACAGTCGTTGCCTAAATCCCCAGAAAGCTGCCCTGTTCTACGCTGGCAACTATTTCGTTAAGCAAAGTAAAATACCCTTTGCTTATAAAAGCCAAATTCGCTTTTAGTTCTGGGTTTGGTGGTTGGTGGTGGCTTCTTGTCCGCTGCGGCGCTGCTCTTTCTCCCCTCCCTCTTCCACTCTTCTTTAGTCACCGAGCAGACAGAGCCAAATGAGCACAGAGCGGCGCAACTTTAATCCATGATATCTTCAATCTTGATCGAAGACATGCGGTCATAACTAACATTGAACTTGTAAATACACGTCCCTATGGCTTCCAACCCACGCTTGAGCTGTAACCTCATAATGACGCTTTCTAATGTCAGACGGCAAACAGGCAAATTGTGAATGCAAATTTGAACTGCGAGGCTTTTCAGACTTGTACCTGTGCCAAAACCTTAAAAATATAGCCTCCGGGCAACGTGTTTATTTGATTTGTACCTAATTTAATTTATTTATCGTGTTCATTTAGTTTTTGCAAATTTCTCTGAAGTTCCAACCACCACAGTAGATTTGAGGTGTAGATTTTGATGTTACTTATTTGATTTTATCTTTGCTAGTGTGTTTTGGACCATTGTCCTGTTATTGATCCAGTTTTGCCCACGTTTTAGCTATGTTGGCTCTTGAATACTGCTCAGTAATAAGTGCTAATGTCATGTGAATGCAGAAATCCAAATTATCACCTCACTGTGCTGAATCGTTCCTGCGGATTTGTCCTGATTTGCTCACACCTAATATTGAACCGTGCATCATGTTCAAACGTCTTCACTTTGCTCTCATTTTGTAAAAAGAAAAACATTGTTCCAGATCCCGTGGGGCTTCCTGCGTGCAGCTTGCCTAGATTAAGCCACAATTTCATTTTTTTTGTAGAGAAAGGAGAAAAGACATTCTTGTTTGATCTTTTGTATATTTTGACCAAACATGCTGTCATGAATTTTGACTTTTAATATGATAACTGAAGCCTTGTTTTTTGTTTTTTAGAGCAATGTGCAGTCTGACTTTCAGCTGAGTTCACTGTGACATCCACTTCACCAGTGATGCCTGGTAACTATCTTGAATTCGTCCCATTTGTAAATAATCTTCCTCTCTGTTGAATGTTACATGCATGGAATTGTTTGTGAGGTTTTATTCATCAGTCCTAATTACAGTACATTACCACTAAACTCTGCCAGTCAAACAATCAATAGTTTAAAGGGAGTGCTCTTCAGTCTTGCTTTTTTAACGCAACAGATGATTTTTCACTGCAGTCTCAGTACATTTATACCCTTAATGTGATCTGAAATATGTTCTATGAAGAAAACAGTCAATTAGAGCTACTTAGTCAGATTGTATTCAGAGAATTGTTTACAGTTGTGGATTTCTTTACAGTCAACGTTGCTTGACCAATATGGGACTGTATTCTTGTTTGTGATCATAACTTCACAAATTTGGGACATTGCAGCAAGAAAATGATCCTAATCACTCAGATAAGATCGATTGTGACATAATTTGCGCAACAAAACAGCCAAATGCTTGGCTGACTCATACCGAACACAATTAAATAGCTATTTGGAGACATTTAGAAACAAGCTAAGAGTGAAAGCCTGATATGTCATCACTAAGAAAAGGAAAAATATGTGCTGTATCTGCAAAAGGATTTTGAATCTTATTTCTCAATCATTCAGAGAACAGCAAACACAACGAATAACAAAAATATAATCACATGAGCCGAACAACTAGAGTCTGTTTATACCATAAAAGTATTTAGACCAATCAAGAAGGAATACAAAACAAAAACTCAGGTTATGTTTAGGAGCACCTCCATAAAATTGGCTGATAGGAAATGGTTCATTCACCAAATGCTCAACAGGTACTAAATTCGTTGCACAGTGGAACAGATTTTTCTATCAATTCTAGCTTTCACACAGAATTTTCTTGCCAAAGACTTGAAATAATGAAACTTTTAGATAATGACCAAGCAACATTGTTTTCTTCAAATCTGTTTGTTTTTTTCATTCGGTTAGTAAATTTATCTTAAGATCATCAGAGAGGTGCCTTTTATTCTTTTGATACAATATTATTAAAGAATTTTATTCAGATTGACAATGTTTGTTTTTTCACAATCATTGGATGATTGTGAAAAACGTCAGATTTGATTACAGCTCTCAATATCACTGTTGTGATCATCCTTATGACAATAAGCAGACCCTTTACCTCATGATTATGAAATAATTAACTAATTTAATTTAAATAATTTAAATTTAAATAACCAAACAATGTAAACTTAGGTTTGTCAATAATAAGGCAATGAACTAACGATTTCAAAATAGCTGCATGAAAGACCCATTTCAAGCATGGCTCTTCTCAATTTATATATAGAATATAGAGTCTATTTGTAATCTCTCCTGTATCAGCCGTTGTTTTTCTCCGCTCATCTCTTTTGTCCCCAGGGCAGCTGCCATGACCATTCCACCTTCAGACTGATCGGTTTCTGAGCAACTGGCACAGTTAAAAGGATATCCTAATGTCCCTTTCCTTTCTCTGACTGCTCCCTGGGGTTTGTCTTTCTTAAGTAACTCTGTCATTTTAGCGATCTATGAACCTCTGCCTCTTCCATCCCTCTAATTGTTCGTGTTTTCTGAATGTTCTTCTCATGATCTGTTGGAATAGGGTTGAAAAACTGAACTGAGGCTAAGAGGAGTGGATTGGTCAGTCTCTCATGGAGCTGATGCCTGTGTTCTCTATTAACACTCCAAAGGTCAGTGATGCGTCTAAAGCTTTACATGAATTCATATATAAGGTCAGAGTCACTGCTTGAAATGCACAGCTACAAAGACAAATAAACATAAACCGCTGAAAACAGCTGTAGTTGGACATGCAATCATGCTCTGTAAGGGTTGTATTTTAAGTGAACGGCCTGGTCCTTTTTGCCTCTGTATTTACCGTGCAGTATGGTACACGAGTTAAGGTTCATTACTCCTAGGTCTTGTCTTACAACCTGTTTGGCTATATGGGACGTTGTCCTCCAACAGTCAAAGTGTGCCCCTTTGTATCCTCACACTGAAAACCATCATATTGTGTATAGAATGCAAATAACCCCTTATACTGTCCGACAGATAGCAGGAGATGACCAGTTTCATACTATCTTCTTCTTCATCCCCCTTCCTGGTTTTAAAAGAGGAAATGAAGTTTTCCTCTTTTTCACCATGTATTCCGCTCAAGTAGGCAACAAATCCTGGTGCCACTGAGCAGCATTTGCATTTATCAAATACATGTGTGGTATATGTAAATCATACAACATGAAAGAAACAGAAAAAGATTAGGCCTCCAGATGTTTGTGTCCATGTGTGCAGGCAATTCTACATTTATTCCCCCGTCTTTACACTTGTGTCACAACTTTCTGATTTGTGCTCCATGAGATTTCCTTTGGTGTAACCTAAAATAAATGTCCATGTTCTAGTCATGCTACACCTGCTGCCTTCCTCAAAGGAAATGGGCAAAATGGACAGGAAGCCCACTTTGGCACATCATCAAAATAATTACCAGTTCTGTGTGTGACTGATGCATCTATATAATTTGAAAATAGTAATACATTTCTAAATAGATTCAAATATTAATACTTGGATCTCAAGGATTTATGTGCAAATGTCTCTAAATATGACTGACTACTTTTTAATGTAATAACATATATCAAACGCTGTCTATTGGTTCCTTTTTTACCTCCACAATGAATGCCAGACATGGGCTGACAAGAAAAAACTCTTCTTTCACTGTGGTAAAGAGGGCTGTTTTTCACTTTCTTTTTTCAGAGGGCAAGTGGGGGAGTTTGCAGCTGCTACTCAGAGACACATATGGGCCGAGTGGTGGTTAGAAGGGGGTGGGTGGACAGAAAGCACATGGCCCTCACGGTTAGACTTTAGAGAAGGATGGTTAAAGAAAGTGGGACATTTAGTGCATGCACCACTTCTAAAATGATTAAATGTTCAAGTAAATTAACATTTATTTTCCTATGTCTCCAATTCATTTGTTCTTCTTTTTCAAACCCACAAATGTTTTCACAGAATAATACTGGCATCTGTCCCACTGCAGCCTTTTGCATTTGCTTGATCTACTTTTGCTCATGTGTGGGTTTAAGCAAAGGGTGAAACTTCCCCGCAAGTATTAGTATATCTTCCTGTTTTAGCATCTTACTTTAGTTAAGATTTTATAAATGAAAAAGTGAGTTACAGAAGTGCACTGCATGTCAATTTCACAATTATACTGAATATGCTGAGAGTGCTAGTGTTGATTGGGGAATAAATTAAATGGATGTGTAAAGATAAAGCTTGGATGCTGCCCACATGTCATTTAGTTTAAAATTATTTTGTCCGTTGGGGTTCTGGAGGGAATTTAGAGCACTTAAGTGCCAGTAGAATGACAACTGATACTCCACCAGACAGACTGCTATTATTCCTAAAGGACTCTGACAAGAGGAAAAGCTACATTTAGGTTAGGGTTATATTTGATTTTTTTAACAGATTCTGGCTAATAAGCCTAATTTCCTTGGCAGTCATTTGGGCGTAGTTCTCACAAATTCTCAGTTTATATGACAAGCCAATTTCCCTTGTTCTGCTCAATCAATAGTTCCAGAAAAAAGAAACTGCGTGTAAAAGAGGGAAATTAATGATGAAGACCTTTCACTATATGAAAATGCACCATGTGGCTCAGCGCCCATGTTTGAGGTAGATTATCAGATGATATCACTCTGGCACCAGCGGTCTGGGCGGTTCCCTTTTCCCGTCTGGGGATGCTATGAGAGATGGACAGCAGCTCCCCGGTGGCTTGTGGAAGGGATTGTCATTAGAGGCACTTCCTGTAAAAAAAAAGAAGTTACTTACAAATATCAGACCCATAAAACAAACCATTATGTGTGTGTCAGTGTATGAGTGTGTGTGTGTGTGATAGTGAGAGAGAGAACAAAATTGCTTTGTTGGGCAACTAGCCACTGACATTACACATCCAAACTTGTGCTGATCATCCTGGGTTTGTTTCTGGGAGAGATGGTGGCATTTAGTTGTATCATATACAATGCTGACAGTACAAAAATGAATATTCAATAAATTTTGTCTGACATTGATCATTAAAATTCAGTAGCACATGTGTCACTTTATTACCCTCTGATAAAAT